TCTCTTCACCTGTGCCTACTTCTGCTGCCATCGCCCTGGTCGAATCTCTTCACCTGTGCCTACTTCTACAAGCATAAATGCCCTGGTCTAAGATGTTGCCATCTCTGCCTGGGCTGTAATGATTCCCCCAATCCGCTTCCATGTATCCACCCATGTCCCTCCTCTTCCACCTCCCACTCCCGTAACCAGCCTCCATGTATCCACCCATGTCCCTCCTCTTCCACCTCTACCCCCACAAGCAGCCTCCATGTATCCACCCATGTCCCTCCTCTTCCACCTCCCACTCCCGTAACCAGCCCTCCATGTATCCACTCCATGTGCCCTTCCAATTTCCCACCCTGCAACCAGCCTCCATGTATCCACCATGTCCCTCCTTCTTCCAATTTCACTCCCGTGAACTGGAGCTTCCATGCGATCCACTCCATGTCCCTCCTCTTCCAATTCTCACTCCCTACAAGCAGCCTCCATGTATCCAACGGGCGTCCCTCTCCTCTTCCACCTCTACATTTCACTCCCCGTAACCAGCCTCCATGTATCCACTCCATGTCCCTCTTCTTCCAATTTCACTCCCCACAAGTAGCCAAAGTCATCTTTTAAAAAATGCAAATCAGATCATGTCTCTCCCAACCTTTTAGATTTTTAACTTTAATGATTTCCTATGGCTTGTTGGGATAAAGTCCCGAATCTCTAACCTGGCCCATCAAGTCCTACTCTTCAACCTCATCTCCTACCACTCTCTTCCACGTTAGCATTGTTCTCACCACCCTGGTTTCCTTCCGTTTCTTGAACACACAAAAAAACTTGTTCTACCTGAGGGTATTTATGCCTGCTGTCCCCCCTTCTTAACACGCTTCCCACCCACCTTTCCTTGGGTTGCTCCTATTCACCCCGTGGACCCCACATAAATGTAATTTCCTTTCTCTCGTCTTCTGTGTTGGTCCTGTTGCTTTGGGCTCCCGATAGCAAGCCCTTTGTATGTCTTCACGTCTTCATCAGAGCGCTTACCCCAACTGTGATCCATAGTCATTGTTGTAATTTCTGTCCACTTTCTCCCCTCTCCACTACCTGGTAAGGGCTGAGTTCATCACCCTATCGCAGCACAAAGCACAAAGCCTGGCACATGGTAGCTGTTGCTTATTGGAGAATGCATCTGTGAATGAATCTGGCTTCTACTTCCATCCTTCCACTGGGACTGCTATTACTGAGAGTTCGCCCATGGCCTTCTCATTGATACGTCCAGGGTTTCTTCTCTGGAAAGTCTGACACGTCTACAACATTTGAACCTGCTGTCAACCTCTAGTTCTTTAAACGTTCTCCATCTTTTCTCATCCTTGGGTTTTGAGACAGTATTATTTCCTTTGCTTTCTCTCTGAGCACTGCTTCTGAGCCTCCTTGGCTGATGTGCTCTGAGTGTCCCTTAAATGTCAGTGTCCTGCATGATTCCAGCCGTCAGTTTTTTCTGCTCCCTCTGCACAGTCTGTGAGCAGCCTTAATTACGTCTGTGGCTTCAACCCTCATGTATTTCAACTGGCGAATCCCACACCTGTATGTCCAGCCCTGTCCCCACTCCTGCACACCAGATCTTTCTCTCACTGCATCCTAAATGCCTCCACTCCGATGTCCCACTGAAGCCTCAAGCTTAACATTTCCAAGTGGAACTAATTCTCTTCCTTGCCAAACTTGTTCTTCCTGTAGAATTTCCTATCTGGCTAAATAATGTCACCCATCTACCTGACCTCTGAAGCTAGATGTCATGGAGTCATCCTAGATACCTCTGCCGGCCCAGTACCCATGTTCAACTGTCATCACTGTCTCTTGAATCTGTCCCTATCCCTCCTCTCTCTGCACTGCCACCACCTTAGTGCAGCCCCTGCTGTACTTGTTGGGGTCATGGCATCAACCTCTTACCTGGGCTCCCTCCTTCCATCTTCTTCCCCATCTAGCACTCATGCTAGAGATCTTGTCACAGAGAACAAAGCCTAATCAAGCCGCCTCCCTGCCTCACCCCACACCTCTCTCCCTCATGCCCATACGGTGAAGCCCATCCTCCTGAGGATGACGTGCAAGCTTCTTCACAGCTTCCTTGTCTTTCCCTCTGGCTTTTGCTTCTCTTTGCAGCATTCATGGTCCTCTGAGCATGCCATCCCTTCTCAGTTCAGGCTTATAGTGTCAAGCAGGGTTCTCAAACATCAGAATCACAAGGAAGGCCTGCTGTAAAAACATGATGCTGGGCCTTACCTGCAGAGGTTCTAACTCTGTGGGTCCGAGATGAGGCCCAGGATCTGAAGTGGTAACAAGTTTCCAGGGTCTGCAGGGGCTTCTCTTCTGGTGGCCACTGTGAGAACCACCAGTGTATCCTAAAAAGCATGTGAGCCTCGGAGCTCCACTGCCTGGGTCCAAATCCTGCCTCTGCTACCCACTTCCTATGTCACTTAACCTCTCCATGCCTCGGTTTACTTATCCATAAAATGGGACTAATCCTTGAACTACCTTACAGGCTTTGAAGGAGGATTAAATGGGTTAATACCCAGAAGACTTTCAAACACTGCCTGGGTCATTGTAAGTGTCAGGAACTGTTAGTTGCCACCATTGCTGGTTGTTATTTGTATTATTATTTACACAGTTGGTTGTGAATGTCTGCCTCCCTCTCTTTATTGCTTGCAGTTTTCTCGTCTCCTCTCAAGAATTCATTTCTTTTCTGAGGAGCGTTTTGCTAACACCCTCCCAGCCCCAGGCCTTCTGCACCCTTCTTTGTGCCCACACAGGCCCGCGTGCACCGTATCCTAGCATTTGCCGCCCTGCACTCGCCTCTTTCCCAGGAGTTGGGCTCACTTGCTGTGTCTCCGCAAGGCTTCATTTTCTTCCAGCTTCATTGAGGTGTAACTGAAAGATAAAATTCTATAAATTTAAGGTGTCCAATATGATGATTCGATATATGTGTGTGTTATGAAATGATACCCCAATCAAGTTGGTTAATATAGAATTCAAAGAGAAAAATTTTTTATAAAGCTAGTTAACACATTCATCACCCCACCTAGTTACCATTTTTGCGTATGTGGCAGGAGCATTTAAAATCTACCCTCTTAGCAAATTTCAAGTGTACAATACAGTATTAACTCAAGTCATCATGCTGTACATTAGATCTCTAGAACTTACCCACTTATCCACATTATAACTGCAATTTTGTACCCTTGGACCAACATTTCCCCGTTCTCCCCACCTACAGCCCCTTGCAACCACCATTCTACTCTCTGTTTCTCTGAGTTGAATTGTTCTAGATTCCACATGTAAGTGAGATCATAAATTTGCCTTTCTCTGTCTGGCTTATCTCACTTAGTGTAATGCCCTCGAGGTTCAACGTTCACCCCTGTTGTTGCAAATGGTAGGATTTCCTTCTTTTTGTGGATAAATTATATTCTATTATGTATATACGCGTGCGCGCACACACACACACACATGCACACACCCTGCACAGCTTCTTTATCCATCTGTTGATGGACACCTGGGTTGTTTCCATGTCTTGGGTATTGTGAATACTGCCGCTGTGAACACGGGAGTGCGGGATCACTCTGAGCTACTGATCGTGTTTCCTTCAGACACATACCTAGAAGTGGGATTGTTGGATCATACGGTAGTTCTGTTTCTAGTTTTTTGAGGAACTTCCATGCCATTTTCCGTGTTTAGTCCCTGACTTCAATGTTGAGTCCTGGGAGCCCAGCAAAGTGTCTAGTACATCAGTGGGGGTAAAAAATGTTTCTTAATTAAATGATGGAGTTGGCATATGTTGCAGAATTTATTGAAAATACGGGCCGGGCGCGGTGGCTCACGCCTATAATCCCAGCACTTTGGGAGGCCGCGGCGGTCGGATCACAAGGTCAGGAGATCAAGACCTTCCTGGCTAACACGGTGAAACCCCGTCTCTACTAAAAATATAAAGAAATTAACCAGGTGTGGTGGCGGGCACCTGTAGTCCCAGCTACTCAGGAGGCCGAGGCAGGAGAATGGCGTGAACCTGGGAGGCGGAGCTTGCAGTGAGCTGAGATCGTGCCACTGCACTCCAGCCTGGGCGACAGAGCGAGACTCCGTCCCAGCTACTTGGGAGGCTGAGGTAGGAGAATGGCGTGAACCCGGGAGGCGGAGCTTGCAGTGAGCCGAGATTGCGCCACTGCACTCCAGCCTGGGCGACAGAGCGAGACTCCGTCTCAAAAAAAAAAAAAAAAAAAAAAAAAAAAAAAAAAAAAAAAAAAAAAAAGAAAATATGACAAAATGTATCCAGTCTAGGAAAAGGACTGAATACCATGAAAAGGTGGAGAAAAAAGTGTGTGTGTGTGGGTGGGTGTGTGTGTGTGTCCTGAAAGTTTGAGAATGTTGTAGTTAGGATAGTGGGATTGGATTCAAGAATGTGGTCTTGTGGTCTCAGGAACATCTCAGTGCACATCACTTAGTATAATCTTAGCTATGAGTAGCAAAACCCCACAACTCATGGATTTAAACAAGGATATTTATACATGTGTAATAAGAAGTCTGGAGGAAGGATGATATTGGTGTTGTCTGATCCAGTGGTCAACGATGTCATCAGGGGCCTGGGTTCATTCTTTCTGTTCTGCCTCAGGCTTCCTCCTCATGGTCACGAAGTGGCTGCAGAAGTTCTAGTCAACACATTAGATGGCACAGCATCCAGCAGAGGAAAAGAGCTGGGAAAACACTTCCCCAAGCACCCCTAGCAGGGCTCCTCTCACATCTTAACGGCTAGAGGCCGGGTAGAGTCCACCCCAATCTATGCACTGGCAAGAAGCTTGCTTTGTTTTGGCTGGATGAGGCCTCTGAGCTGGGGAGGTCACTGTCCTGAGTGGACAGAATCTGCTAGAAAGGAGGAAAGGAAAAATGGATGCTGCTTCAGCAGACAACAGTGTCTGCCTCAAAGCCCAACCCAGATAATCTAAAAGGAATTGCTTGAAGTCAAAGTGAGGAACCCTTTCCTCTGTCTGTTCTACCCATAGGTCATGCCCTGACCACAGCTGCCCTTCAGGAGGCTGGCACGGAGCCACCCGGGATCATTGGGCTGTTTGTCAAGGGTGTGACAGCAGCGGCTTGCCACTCTTCCTCCATGAGCCCAGCCAGAGCCTCCACTGGGCACTCAGCACAAGAAAAACCCTGCAGGAGCCAGAGTCCAGAGCGTTGGGATTCAGCAGGAGTGCCAGGAGAATTCAACACAGGTGTGCTGCGTCCTCTCCTGCCAGGCGTGTGGCTGGACACGAGTCTTGCTGATGGTAAGAATCGGAGTTCCTGGATGCAGGGGTACTGGGAGCAGCCGCCTGCGAGAAGGCTGGGCCCAACAAACAAATGTTCTGAACGAGGGTAAGAAAATAGCATTTCTGCCGAGGGTCTCTGATTTTCTGTAGCCTGCCCCTGGCTTGAAAACTGTCAGCTTAACAAAGTGGGCTCTCAAACCACCTGGATCTCATGTTTTTTGCTTGTCAGATTCATTGAGAGCTGCAGAATAGGCTCAACAACCCGTAGGGTCTGCTGCTCTGACTGGGACAAAAGCGCTCACAGGAAACTGATGGGAGCGGCTTCACCAGGGGTGGCAGACAATTCTGGCCAGGAGTGGGTGTCCACAGTGGGCAAGAAGTGTGGGCTCCATATCAGGAGCGGTGGCGACAGCTTCTAGAAATTATCTAATAGCTTGACATCCTAAAGAATGTCCCGAAGAGCTGAAAAAGCAGTTCTTCCAGACACATGCAGGGAGCAGCAAAATGAGATGCAGTAGAAGGTTGAATCCAGCTGGGAGCACAGTGCAGTTTAGTTAGGAGTGACTTCTGTGGCATCTGCTGGTCATGGGTGAGGGTTGGGGGAAGACAATACTAATTTGGCCATTATTACATGTGTCTTTCTTGTATCTTCAATCAGATTGTCAACTCCTTGAGGGCAGTAATGGAATATTTTGTTTCTCTTGCATTCTTCACAAGGTCGGGTACTCAGCCATTGTTTATTGTTTATTGTTTATTGTTCATTGATTGAGTATTTGATGGATTCCGACACAATCAACTTGACCAGGCCAGGTCCCAGAATCTTCATTCATGGGAGCAGGGTTGTCACCAGTATCTGTCGGTACCTGCTGAGGAGGAGCGGTGGTGGGTCCTTTCGCCACCTGAGTTGGCCGAGGTTGCTGAGTGTGTGAGTTTCCTAGGGCTGCCTTAACAAAGTGCCACTAACTGGGTGATTAACAGAAATGTCAGGTCTCCCAGTTCTAGAGGCTAGAGGTCTGCAGCCAAGGTGTCAGCAGGGCCATGATCCTCTGTGCTATATAGGAGGCCTCTCTTTGCCTCGCCCTGGCTTCTGACGATTTGCTGGCAGACTTTGATCTTCCTTGACTTGCAGCTGCATCACTCCAGTGTCTGCCTTTATCATACATGGCATTCTCCCTGTGTGTTTCTAAATGTTCCCATTTTTATAAGGACACCAGCCATATTAGGAGCCGCCGTACTCCAGTGTGACCTCATCTTAACTCTTTACATCTTCAGCAGCCCCGTTTCCAAAGCAGGTCACATTCTGAGGTACTGGGGGTTAGGACTTCAATGTGGAGATCACAGTTCAAGCCGAAACACTCAGGGAGCTCGTTCACAGTGACAAGACGAGGGACATGCGAAGGGCCGGGATGAATATGCACGGTGTTCCGTGGTGCTGCGTGAAAGTGACTGGCAGCAGTGTCAGCAGGGGGGCATGTCCTCTGCTCTCAGCATTCCCGAGGGAGGTGTGCTGAGCTGGGCCCAGCTGGACGCATTGGATGCTGTGCTCCAGAGGAGGAACCGCACCCACCTGTCGCGCTCCTTTGTATGGGACAAGTGGGACACAGCCTTGATGGGGGGAACACATCACTGGGGTTCCAGGCAGCCTTAACTATCGAGGAATGCCCGGAAATTCTATCTGCCCAGCAGCTGGAGATCTTGGAGCTCCTCAGTTTCCCGGGAAGTTGGGTTTTGGAGCCGTCTCTCCCAGAGAGGCTGGGAGTTCGTCGCTTTCCCCCTAGAGGCGGTGGGGGCTGCTGGGCTCAACTAGCTCATTGCCAGGAAATCCAGAGAGAGTTCCAGACACCAGACGCTGAACAACCTACTTGTCTCCAAACCTAGTAAAGCTTGGACCCACTGCCGCCAACTTTTCTGCCTCTGCAGTTTTGGAGCCCTTAACGTGAAGGTGACAGTCCAGAAGCCTGCAGGCTGTTCGTAGCCCATAGATGTGTTTTCTTCCCAGTAGCTGGTGTACACAGTGTTTTTGTATTATTTTTCAAATAGGCAATACATTTGCGTGGTTCAAAAATTAAAGCGCTATAGAAAGGTATTCAGTGAAATCTTATCCCTGCCTCCAGTGGCCAGTCCTGCCCTGCCCTCTTCTGTAAATACTTTTATTAGTTTCCTATACAACCTTCCAGAATTTCTTTTTGCAGATAAAAGTCAGTACAAATATGTATCTGCCTCCATCCCTCTACTTCTTACGTAATTACAGCAGACTATACGCACTATTTTTAACCTCGCCTTTTTCACTTAATTTATCTTGGTGATCTTTCCCTATCTGTATGTGGGGAGCTTCCTCATTCTTTTTTTACAGGAGTGTAGTATCCCGTTGTATGGATTTACCATAATTTAACAATCCCCTACTGATGAACACAGGTTGTTTTTAGTCATTTTCTGTGAACGTTACAAGAAACACTGCACAGAATAAACCTGCCATTTCGTGTTGACCCTGAACGTGTGTAACCTTTAAAAATTCTGAAAAATCTTTGAATAATCAGAAGAACTGGAAACACTCGGTTCTAACATGTGGACAACTGGTTGGGTTGGGTAGCAGCTGTCCTTTTGAAGAGACCTCCCTGCCCCCTCTGGCATGTTCCCCACCACCTCTTGCCGACCCTCTTGCGTTCAGCCTGAGCGCTGACTGCCATCTGGCAACCTTGTGCTGTTTCTCTCATAGAGTATTAAGGAGGAAGGGAAATCACTCATGTACTCATGTCTCTTCAAGGGGGAAACTGAAAACCAAGGAGGCTGTCTTTTTCCAGCAGAGGGGGAGGGCAGACTCGATATGAAAGCGATTCTGCTTCTTCATCGGCCCCTCACCACTCGGCCCGTTTCTGTTACTCTTCTGTATGCTTGAGATTGCAGCCCCTGCCTTGCTATGTCCAGGCTTTCGTCTCAGGAGCTGAAAAGTGGAAGGAAAAGAACCCGGCCCTCTTCTTGCTTTTGTGCACTGTCTGAGTAGCCGCATGGAGACCAGCAATAAAAGTGAAATACAAGACAGTCAAAAGTGTTGTTCTGTTACATGGATTATCTCAGCAGAGCCCCCAAGGCAGGGGTAGCACTATCTCCCTTTTCCAGACAAGGAGACAGTAGCAGAGTGAAGTGGCTTCACCAAGACTCATAACGTGTACCCAGAACTAGGATCAGAACCCAGGTTTTTCTGTCACTAGAACCTGACATTTTAGCCAATCTATCGTGCTGCTTCCAAAGTTGTTTTTTTTTTTCCTTGAGACAGAGTCTTGCTGTGTCACCCAGGCTGGAGTGCAGTGATGCAATCTCGGCTCACTGCAACCTCTGCCTCCCAGGTTCAGGTGATTCTCCTGCCTCAACCTCCCGAGTAGCTGGGACTACAGGTGCGCACCACCACGTCCAACTAATTTTTGTATTTTTAGTAGAGACATGGTTTCACCATGTTGGCCAGGATTGTCTCGATCTCTTGACCTCATGACCTGCCTGCCTCGTCCTCTCAAAGTGCTGGGATTACATGTGTGAGCCAGCACACCCGGCCCCAAAGTCTTTTTAAAAAAGGTGTGGTTTACAGTTATGCCTCTCACCTGCTAAGTTTGTCACTACTGATGCTGTGGAGATGACAGTCATGACAAAGGTAAAAGCAGCTCTGAAAACAGGCAAGATGGCTCCATGCTGAGAAGAAGGTGGGTGACAATGCGTGTGTGGTCTCATAACTAACATGACGGCTGTTCCTTGATCGTTTTTCCCATTTTATAGAGTGGAATTGGCTCCCCTGCCCTTCTTGCTCTTTCGATCCAAAAACACGTATTGAGCAACTTCTGAATGCCAGGCACTGTGCTCGGTGTGAATGATAAGCCTGGTGCCTGGAGGCTAGTTCGGGTAGGTCAACAGAAAGCTGCAGTGCCACCAGGTATATGTGGTGCTGGTGACATGGATGCATTGGGTTGTGTCCAGAATGTGACAAAAGAGACAAATATACCATGGAGCAACCATGAACAACAAAGCGAGTGGCTTCCAGTTGTCTTGGGTCCAGTTGTCTTGGGTCCTCGTCATTTTACACTACTTGATGAAGGAAGGAAGTGGGGCCCAGAAGTGGTGGCTGTGAGCTAAGGTATTGAGCCATCCTTCTGCCCGCAGCCAGGATGAGCATGACCACAACTGGCAGCTCTCTGGAGCCTACTCGGGGTTGAAAGGTGGGCCAAAGGAACCTTCCCTCCCTTTGCTGCTCCACCTCAGCTTTTCTCATTCCTGGCCATTTGTTTATCCTGTAAGCTGGGGGCTGGGGGTCTCCCAAAGGAACACTCACCCTGAGAATTAGCATTCTTCCAGCGGGGCAAAATCCTCTTCCTTGCTGAAGAAATTCTAAACCCAGCCAGCTGAAAGAGGAAGAGTGCAGGGGTTAGGGAATGGTGGGACCAAGAGGGCACGTTCCATCTGATCTCTGAAATCACACCTCAGCTATAGGACTTGCCCACCAAGGCTTCTTGTCACCATGCTTTGTTGGATTTGTAATGTTGCTGTTTCTCTCTCTTCTCCCCCAGGGTTTGCATGCAACAGCATCTGTCATCTCTGTGGTTATCTTAGAACAACGGGGGCTTTTGCTTTGTATTTATTCTTTCTCTGAGTGCAGTGCTAACCACAGCAGCCTACGGGCAGAGGGGTTGGGGAGGGAGCCGGCTGCTTTTCACTGAAATCCTATGGTCTTCAGCTGCAGCTGGTGCGAGTGCTGAAACTGTGTGAAACAAAAGTGTTGAAACTCAGTCCCAAGTGACTTCTGGGGATCTGTTTGCCTGTGCTTCCTATGGATGAGTAATTAGAAACGAGTTGTTTTCAGGTTGAAAAGGAGAATCCAGAGTCCTGATGGAATGCAGGCAGCAGGCACGTCTAGGGCTACAGACAGGTGTGTGCACTTCCCTGTGCTGGCAGCTGTGTGCAGATACAAGAGAAGCATCCCATCCCCTCCTTGCCCTCAAGGAACTTAGTGGCAGGAAGAGGAGCAACATTTACAGTTGGTCTACCCTCTTGGGCCTGTTTCCTCATTACAGAAATGAATGAGGTTAGACTTGATCAGTATTCCTTATTATTATTATTTTTTTAGATTCAGGAGGTACACATGCAAGTCTGTTACATGGATATATTGCGTAAGGCCGAGGTTTGGGGTTCTAATGAACCCATCACCCAAATAACGAACACAGCATGCAATAGATAGTTTTTCAGCCCTCGTTTGGTGAGTATTTCTGATGGGGTCAGTGCTGTCCCCTAGAGTAATGCTTCTCACACTTTCAAAGAAGTTAAGCCAAAAGCCCAGTATTTAGGAAATGGTTGTTTTAGGAAGAGAAGCCTAAATGGAATAAAGACAAAGCCTTGACATGATAAGACGATTTCCCAGCTTCATGCATTCTATCTGGATCAGAGCATTTCCAAATATACACTGAACTGAAAAGGGCACAGTGCAATATGCAGTTACCGCAAAGCAAGGAACCCATGTGCAGGTCTGTAACAGGAAATTTGAAACTTCATCGAACAGATGTAGAATTAGATACTATTTTAAATTAGCAGAGGCACCTCAAACTTGCTTATAAAAGTTGTTTTAAAAATAATATTCTTATCACATATATTTGTATTTGTAGTACAATGGTAAGAAATCTCTTGCAAAAAGTAGCTATCATGGTTACTTCTTTGGAGTTGCCTTTTGTTCTTCCCTTTTACTCTAATATTTTCTCCTTCAAGATCTACCAAACAACTTTTCCCAATCCATCCTCCTCTTCTCACTGCCCATACTATAAGGATGTCATTTTAAAGGCTTTTTTTTTTTTTTTTTTTCCTGAGACACAGTCTCGCTCTGTTGCCAGGCTGGAGTGCAGTGGCACGATCTCAGCTCACTGCAACCTCTGCCTCCCAGGTTCAAGCGATTCTCCTGCCTTAGCCTCCCGAGTAGCTAGGACTACAGGGAGCACCACCACGCCCGGCTAATTTTTGTATTTTTAGTAGAGACGGGGTTTCACCATGTTGGCCAGGGTGGTCTCAATCTCTTAACCTCGTGATCCGCCCCCATCAGCCTCCCAAAGTGCTGGGATTACAAGCATGAGCCATCGTGCCCAGCCACTTTTTTTTTTTTCTTTCTTTCTTTCCTTTTTTTTTTTTTTTTTAACTGCTAAAGACTGAATGTATGCCTCGACACAGTGGGTGGGATTTCCAGGCTGGAAACATGTTTTCTGTGACACTTTGTCACTATCCTGTCCCATGTCACAGCATAATAAATTATCGTGACACTACACTTATGTGTGAGGCTGAGCTCATGAGACAGGATCCTATGCTTCCTTGTTTCCTCTGCTTGCACATTTGTAATTTGATTTGGCTTGTTATCTGTACCACAGCGAAGGTTATTTCCTTCTTCCTGTTATCAAATACAGCTAGGAAAGGGGGGTTCTTCCTTCTCATTGTAACACTGTTTTATTCGATTGTCCTCCTATATCCCTCACTCTTTTATTTCCTTGTACTTCTTATGTGAAGTGGCTTCTATTTGTCTTCTGTTAAATTTAGACTTATCCATTATAGGTAGGTGGAAGTGTTGACTACTTCATTATGTGTTCCAGTGCAGGCATACAGGAGCACGTACATATTGAAAGACATATTATTTTGTTAAGAATCACATTTCTTTGCTCACTTTGGCAGCACGTATACTAAAATTGGAATAGTACAGAGAAGATTAGCATGGCTCCTGCACAGGATGACACGTCAAGTGTGCATGCTGTCTCTCTCTCTCTGTCTATATATATATATAAATATATATAAAGCACATTTATATATATATATATATATATAAAGCATGTTTCCTTTTTCTCCTTTTATTAAAAGTAGGACTACTTTATGCATTTGGGTCGAATGACTTTTCTAGGAATTTTATTTCAGGTGGTAAAGAGGGTGTTTCTAAATATTTGTTACAAAAATGGGGCATTGATTGGATAGGGTGGAGCACCACTGGATTAAATGATCTCCAAGGTCTCTGACATTCTTTGTGCAACATTTACAAAACAGTGGATGACAGCCTGATTCATGACTCAGTCAGAAAAAAAAAATCCTGGAGGAGAAAGTGATCAGTGAAAGCTGGTATTATTTATTTATAACGTCATCTTCAGTGAAGTACTGTCCGGGAGATGTGGCTCTGCTCACCCCTGCCCCACCATCCTAGCTGCACCTGAGAAACTGGGGAATTGAAGAAAAGAAAATACTTATTTAATTTCCCATCAAGGATCATGTGAAAACCACTTTCTGGAGTGAGGCCCACACATCTGGAGTGTTTAAAAATCTCCCCAGATGATCTGATGTACTCTGAGGGTTGAGAATGAGTGCGTGCAGAAGGGTGAATGGTAAAAAGATAAGCCCATGTCCTAACTGCCAGAACTGGTGAATATGACCTTATTTGGAAAAAAAAAAAAGTCTTTGCAGATTTAATGAAGTTACAGATCTTGAGATGAGATCATCCTGGGATATCTGGGTGGGCTCTCAATTCAGTGGCAGGTGTCTTCATAAAGAGACACACAGAGGAGGGACACAGAGAGAAGAAGGCCAAGTGAGGACAGAGGCAGAGTTGCTGCCACATAGCCTCAAGCCAAGGAACACCTGGAGGTACCAGAGCCGGAAGAAGCAAGGAGGAGATTCTCTCCAGGAGCCTTTAGAGGGGACACAGCACAGCAGTCGCCTTGATTTAGTACTTCTGGCCTCCAGAACTGTGAGAGAAGGAATCTGTGGTCTTAAGACACCTGGTTTTTGATAATTTGTTGGCAACTCTTATAGATTAAAATCCTGCCTAACGAGTGGAGGAGATTTGGTGAGATGGAAGAGATGTGGGAGAGCCTTTCTCATGTGGAAGTAAAGTGAGTGAAAGCAGGGAGGCCTGGCTGGAGGGAAGATGGGAGGCAGGACCACTACAGAACAGCGACTGTCCAAGGGGAGCGGGCACTAATTCTGTGGAGAGCCCACCAGAGAATATTTCCTTTTTCTAGGAAAGATGAATTCCTCTCCGTTCTTCTTCTCCATTCTGTCCTGTCCTATTTTGGAAAATAGTGCTTGCTGTGCCTCCTTAGACCGAAAGAGCCCAAGCAGCCCAGGAAGCGAGTTCACACTCCATTCCACAGCAGTGGGAACCAGTGGAGGGTGAGGCCAGATGTCTGAACGCTCAGTGTTCTGTTGCCCATCGGTGTAAGGGTCACTCCCTCCAGGGTGCACTCCACCCCTCCCCGACACCAGCAGTTCCACCTTATGGGGTGGCTTTATGAATCCCAGCAAAGCTATTTGTCTTGCAGCCCCAGAAGGTCTGGGTGATATTGCTGACATCGTTGGATGGCCCTGCCAATGTCTTAGAAGTCAGTCCCAACTGCAGATATCTAAACTAAGTCGCATCACTTCTGACAAACTTCTCCTAAGGGACCATTTTCTCCTGTCCTCAGACCACCAAGCTGGAATGAGAGCAGCCAGCCTCGGAGCACACACCGTGCCAGCTGTGCTTAGTTAATAACCAGCCAGCTATCTTGGGGAGGCATCTCGCGGGGCACTGCGTGATGAAGCACAGATCCATGCCCTACTTTCTGCAAACTTAAGCAAGCGAAACTTTCATTAACAATGCCCATGAAAGCAGAGTCCTCGCTGACTTTTCTGGCTGGCTCAGCAGGAGCTGAGAGCGTGTGAGAGTACTTGCACAAGAACTCGCTAATCTCATTACTGGATCCTGTGTGTGCATTTCCCAGGTGTTGTTTTGAACAGTAAACTCAGAAAGGGCCAATACTCTGGGAGCAGGGAGGTCACCCTGAGTATAATATGGCCTTAAGGGTAGAGAAAAGCAATTAAACGCCGCCCGACAAGAAGAATCTAGGGACTGTGATGCACTGAGCACTGGGGCTGGGTGGTGGGGGCCTCGACTGGAAGGAGACAGGAGGAAACGGAGGGGAACAACTGATGCATGGTTATTCTTAGTCTTTGATTGTCAGCTCTGTTGGGGATTTGACATTACCCATTTTCCTAGAAACGAAGGAAGGACATAGGAACGCCTTCATTTCATTTTCTGGAAATAAGCGTCTTTAAAGGAAGGAGAGCTCTTCCTTCTATGGACACCGTCATATGATTGACACCATTAAGGTCAGTGGCTACTGATTTAATGTTGAGAGAGACGCTGCAGAATGGTAAACACAGGCCAAAATGTTGTGTTGCTTTGGGATCCCTTGGATAGGAGGCCCTGGTGGAGGTCATTCCAGGCATCCTCCTGCCTACAAGGACCCCAACATCCTTGCCCACTATGGGCTTGAGGGAGAAAGGCCTGGCATCTTAACGTGAGATGTGGGGCTGAGGTTAGGGAGCAGGATGGAGGACCATGGCTGGAGTTGCTAAGTCTCACCGGGGCACTGGGCTGTCCCTAGGGACGCCTAGGGGCGTCCCTAGGCATCTCTCTGTGCTACTGAGTCAGAGGACGTGTGACAATGTTTCCAATTGAGCAGTAGGGTATTTTGAATGCAAACACACACAGTTTCTAAACCCCCCACCACTGACCTCCTCTTATTTATTAGAAAATCCGAAAGAGTTTTCCAGGGTTGACTGGAAGGGTGGATAAATCTGACACTAACTGGCCACCTGAACCGTGGAGAGAAACAGTGTCCTCCAGAGAGCAAGCACCATTAGAGAAGCCCTATCATGGTGAGAAGGCCTAAGGATTGTTGCTGTCCACACACAGCTCTAACCCAGAGAAAGGGCATGCCAGGGACCAGCCGTGTGTCTGTGCTGCAGACATGGCGTGCTACTCCATGCTCAGCACTCTAGTCAAGGCTGCAAGTGTTACTGGGAACAAGGCAGACAGTTCCCGGCCTCAGGGAGCTCACAGTCCAGCAGGAGTAATAGATGTTCACTGGTTACACCAGGCATTGTTTAGTTACAATGGTCATAAATGCTAAGGAGGAGTACAGAGTTCCTGAGAACATACAGTTTCGGATGTAGCCTGAAGGATCTTAAAGATCATCTTGTCCAGCCCAGTCAGTCCACAGATAAGGAAACTGAGGCTCAGAGAGGGAAATAGATGAAGAGTACCTATTTCGTCAGTGACTGTGATGGGATGAGAAAACATTTCTGATTCCCAATTCTGTTTTTGTTTAGGCTAGGGAAATTGATTGACATTTGTAGTCAGAGCCAGTTGTAGCAACGTTTTCATGGAAGTGTCTGGGTCTAGGAGTTTCATAAAAAAGCCATTGGATGAGAGAATGGAGAGGGACTATTCACAGTATGGGAAGCGGCTCTTTGCACAAGTCCTTCTTCTGGTAGCTATTCTAATAAGGCAAGGGTGAGTCCCTGTGGGTGCTGTGTGTCCTGCGCTGACATCAGAAATGATAAATGTGCTTGATGCGTGAGCCAAGGAACTCATCAACCCTCAGCTGTAAGCCCTACCTCCATGCGGTCCCCCAGATGCCAGCCTTGCTCCACACTTCATTCTCTGAGTGGCTGTGCCATTCCAGGTCCCCACAGCCTCTCATGGGTCTAGTCTCCTTACTTCTTTCTCTTTGACTTTAGCCCCCACACTGTCTTCAGACTGTATGACCTTAGGCGGGTTACCTAAACTTTCTGAACCTCATGTGTAAATGAATGTGGACGATGAGGGTGATAGATAGGGTCAATTAAGACAATTAAGGCTCCCAGCACAGTGCCTGGTATATATTCCATATGAACTCCCTAAAATATGTCAGGTCCTGGAACCCCTGATGACTCCTTATAACTTGCAAAACAGGGAATAACCCTGTTAGAATCTAATACATCCAAGAAGATGTTGTTGACTCCTGTTATGTGCTAGTCATTATGCTGGGTAGTATGGTTATGGAATGAATGAGCCATGATCCCTGACCTCAGGGAGCTAAAAATGTGTGGGGGTAGACGTGTACACAAGTCTAATCCAGGGTGATGAGTGATGCATCAGCGACAATCACAAAAGGCCGTGGAAACACTGACAGTGAGCAACCCAGTCAGTTTGGCATGACATTCAAGGCTCTCTAGCCCTCCTGTCCTATCTCTTACTCTGTCCTTGTGCCAACGCACCCTGTTCCCTACTCACATTTTTCCAAACACATGCTGGACCTCTTCCACCTCCCTTCCCCTCCCCACAGCCCTGGGGGTTAGTTAACATAAACACAGAGAATATAGGAAATACTAAAGAACCTCATAAAAATCACCCATAAACCCAATAAACAAGATAACCACCATTGATGTTGTGGTACATTTCCTTCTAGTCTTTTTTCAGTGTACTTGTCTTTTCTTATTGCCCTTTTCTCATTCTGCCTTACATTTTAGTTTTCACATGCATTTATCTCCACTAGACTGTAAGCTATTTGAGGACAAGGATAATGTTTCACTCACCTTTTTTTTTTTTTTTTTTTGAGACAGGGTTGAGACTCTGTTGCCCAGACTGGAGTGTAGTGATGTGATCATGGCTCGCTTACTGCAACCTCAAACTCCTAGGCTCAAGAGATTCTCCCACTCACCCTCCCAAGTAGCTAGGACTACAGGCATGTGCCACTGCACTCAGCTGGTTTTTTCTTTTCTCTCTCTCTCTCTCTCTTTTTTTTTTGTAGAGACAGGGTTTTACTATGTTGCCCAGGCTGGCCTCAAACTCCTAGGCTCAAGTGATCCTCCTGCCTCAGCCTCCGAAAGTGCTGAGATGACAGGTGTGAGCCCTCATGCCTGGCCTCACTTGCTTTGTACCCCTGTTCCTAACACAGCATCTTGTACTGGGA